TGTCCAGGGTGCACCCTGCCTCTTACCCAGTGTCAGCTGGAATAGGCTCCAGCACTTATAGATAATGATAATGCTACCTTGCATTAGCATTACAAAAATCATTTTCCCATTATTATTGTTTAGTCTTGAATACTTGTGTTCAGCCATGTTACCTCTTGATCATAACACTGCTAATAACACACAATTACACAAGTTAAAAATGGACCAAGAATTAAAAATGGATGGGTCAATAATATCTTGATCTCTGTCAAGATGGAAGTATTTCTCTTCCAGTTAAAGCACAAAAACAAAGTAAAATCCTAATAAAACTTAAATACCTTCACCGTGTGAAAGATGTGGCATTTATTCTTAATGGCAGGGCAAAAAGTAACAATTATAAAAACAATTTTTTGAAGATTCTTTTCACGAGTCAGTGTAAAAACAGTATTAACATCTGGAGCTCCTCCCCATCTTGTTACTCTTCTCTGTGTAACAGCAAACCACAGAGAGCCTCTGCACAGGAAATCATATTGAGTTTTCCATTATGTGTTTGCTCTGAGAGCAATCAGGCTACAGCATGTCTGACTCATCCACACTCATCCTAACACTTGAATCTAACAGACCAGCTTATCAGAAATCTTATTACAGGAATGCAGGCAGACAGACAGACACTACAGCCAATTTTACAATGTAATCCCTCAATACTGTGCCATCAGCAGATCCAAGTAAAGGTCATAAAGCAGAGATTGAACAGATTACCAGGTTAGAGGTCATGTTTGTCTTACATATATATGTGAATTCAGGATTTAAATAATTGAGTTTAAAGAGTGCAATTCTAGTATATTACATTGTACCTTCTTTATCAGTTATAATATACCACACTACAGAACATTCAAAGATTAATCAGTAAGATCAATACATTTATCTAAAACTCAATTTTCAAAATTAAATTTTTGTGTGATAGAAACATAAAATGAAAATCATATGATTTTAAATCTTTCTTAAGAAAACAAAGCAAAACTACAATTCTAAATATAGCATGAGAGACAATGAGAAAATGACAATTTACTGCACTGTCAGTAATTGAATACCTTGTGGAAAAATAACTGAAGAGAGTTTGCCAAGAGGTGAGAGGTTGCCATGGAAACATATTCAAAGGGAAGAAGATCCGTTTGCCAAGATCTTAACAAAACATCTGACTCAGCCAAGATATTTGTTAGTCAGACATCACTAGCATGGCTACCAGGAGCTGAAATATATAGAACAGTACAGTTTACAGTACAGAGAAAGCAAAGGCACATACAGTAAGATTACTGTAAATGAATCTGACCATGGTGAGTCACAGATGTTAGTGCATGGATAATAATTCATCAGATATGAGGGAAATGCATGGCATTTTAGTGAGTGAGTAAATCTGATGTGACCAAAAATAAAGATTTTCTTTTGCAAACTAGAAATAAATGGAACAGAAAAAATAAATCCCCCGTGCCACATCAGATGTCATCTTATGTAAAGCAACCAGCGAGCCTCTCCCTGAGTTCCTCTGCACTTGAGTCCATTAGCTTTACACCGCAGTCAACGGATCATTAGGCCCCATCCGCTTCAATAATGCAAAAAGAGCAAACCAAGCAACACCACAATGCCCTATCTGCCTCTCACCTCTCAACACAGCAGGGTCCTACTGAGGTAAACAACACATTATCAAACTAATACTGTGTGCAGGGACTGGTGTGATAAACTGTGTGCAGGCGGGTGTGTGTCTAATTGACTGCAAGGCATGCAACTATGCAAACAAGCAGAGAAGAAATGAATATGTGGGCTGCCACTTCTGCACACATTTAACATAGTTATTATCCATTGTGTGAGTGAAGTATCTCCTCAGTAAGCAGACCGGTTCAAATGATGAACCTCACCTTTGGCTCTTACAACACTTGCATTATAGATAAACATAAACAACAATGAATATCCTGTTAGTCATCTGCCCCTGCTTCAGTTTATCCGCTAATGTAGTTGACAACATGCGCTGGGGGTTCCTGATGACAAACGGCAGGTAGTGAGTGGCACATAGGTTAGGGCGCTTGTGATTTGACATCACAACGCTGATGGATGTCACCGCCCTGCCCACATCAGGACCAGAGCAGCCAATGACGGGATGCATTTAAACCCAGACGCCCGTGTGAGCGAGCCAATGGGAGCGGATCTGCTTTGTTTCCCTGCCTGCATGACTCTGTTTAGTGCGCACATGTGACCACAGAAGGCGCTTGCTGGTATTTAAACATCATCGATTGGGCTCAGGAGTGGACGGCTACCCCCCGAACAGATAAACAAACCAAAACCAAAAACCCACAATGGCTTCCCTTAACTCCCCGTGACGGACGCTTTGACCCCCCCTTTTCCCCTCTCTTTTTAACCTCCCTCCATCTCTACCGGACGCGCATCATCTTTTTTTTTATAACATTAACGGACTTATGGTTAAGCTGCTGACGGAAGAGGCGCCGTGTTCTCTCTCCACGGATGACACCTGTAGCTGAATCTGGATCTCATTCCCATAAAAGAAAAAAAAAGGTGGGGGGTAGGTTGGATTGTTTCACATCCAGTCACCATCCGCACCCTGCAGGAGAGGTGCTCCGCGGCGCTGTTTGATCTCGAGTGGGTGAAGCGCAAAGGTAGCCTAAAGCCATTTAACGGACGCATTAATTTCTAAGCCGCTCTCTGTGGCTGCTTGCAGACAGGAAGGAGCATGGATAGAGAGGAATTTGCTCTGACTGGTGCGTTGAGGGGATTTGTAGTGCTGGGGGTGTGCTCCTGTGGAAACTAAAGTAAGGACAGTGGGCTGAGGCGCCGTCACTAACAGCTCGCCATTTCTCTTCAAGCTTCTTTTTTTTGTTTAATATTTTATATTCTTCGGCGAGGAGATTAAGAAATGTTCTTTTTCATCATGGGGAAAAAAGACGCAGTGCAAAACAATGCTGGACGCTTTGAACAAAGTGACCGCTTGCTACAGCATCTGGTCATCGCCTGGGGAAACACTCCGACTCGCAGAACCTGCCAGGTTGAGGAGCTGAAGAGGACCCGCAAAAAGGCCCAGGAGCTGGCCGTGGCCAACAGGACTAAACTGACCTCTCTGCTCAAAGACAAGACCATCAGCAAAGAGGACCGAGCCGAGTACGAGCGCCTGTGGGTGCTGTTCTCCAGCAGCATGGAGCTCCTGGAGGTGGACATGAAAAGGTCCCTGGAGATAGGGCAGGATTTCCCCCTCAAGGTGCCGACGAGACACCTCATCCAGACGGGGATGACAGGCAGCACCACCACCGTGGCGGCCCGGGCCATGAGCGTGCAGAACATGAAGTACGAGGCGGACAGCAACATCGACACAGCCGACCTCCGGGACCTGCAGTCCGAGATCTCCCAGGTCACCCAGATGATGGAGGAGATGGAGATGAAGGTGCAGGTTGCGCCGTGGGCCGTGGAGGCGAAGCAGGAGGCGGGCGCAGAGCTCAAGTCCAACATGAGCGTCGGGAATTCCTCCGTGGGCGTCATCTCCATCTGCGAAGAGGAGCCCAAAGAAGAAGAAGGAGGAGGCGGCAGCAGGGATCCTGGCTTCGCCTCCATCTGCGCCGTGTTTGTGTTCTTTGTCATAGTCACAGTCGCTGTGGTTCTGGGATATTTGGTCGTCAATATGTCCTGAACTGTCTGACCCGCAGCCCACCCTGACGGACACCCTGCGCGGACGCCACACCGGAGCTCGTTACGTTACGTCGTGGTTTCACAGAGGCCAGCAGCCTACACATGAGAGAAAGAGATTTTTTTTTTTTTTTTTGTAAGTGGGCATAAGGGGCTGGAAATTTGCAGACACACAAAGTTATTAATCTTCTCTCGGATTCGTGAATGTTGGAGTTGAGGCACTAGATAAAATGTAGAACAATGTAGGCCAGTGTGTGGAGAGAATGGACGTCTGGCACAATTTGAGGTTAAGTTTTTTGAGGGGCCAGGGGGTCGTGGTATTTTTGGAAGAAGGGGGGCGGGGGGAGTCGTGAAATTACGTGACAGTGTCTGGCCATCAGGATGATACAAACAACACGTAATCCAAGTGGATTAGTGGAAAAGCTCAAGCGTAAATGTAGCCTACTGTTAAGTATTCCCCTTGATGTTACTGCTGATTGATGCTTTCAGTTTATGAATTGCAATCCAGCAGTGTCAGATGTATGTGTTCGAGTGAAGAGGGGACCATCTAGTCAGAGAAGTTTAGGGTTGTGCTGTGTGAAACTTGATAGTCAGTGTTACAGTTAAGGTCCTCACATCACACAGGTCAGATGTGATAAAAATCTGCACTATTCCACACTCCCGTTAGCAACACTTTTAATACATTATACAAATCTGTACAGCCAGATTGTAGTAGGCCTGCATCTTGCATTGAATCACACTTTGCTTTATGAGAGCCTTTGGACCTCAGAGACTGTTCACAGTCTTTTAACAATGCACCTGTTCACTGTAAGCCTGTTCATGTTCCTTTTCAAGGTTTTTCTTGCAAACAGTGTTGAATGTATATGTCGCAACATGTGCATAGAGGGGGTTTGTACATACAGACGGCTGCGTCAGATAATGTACATACATAAGTATATTTATTATAATAAAATTTTTAAAAGCACACTTGAAGACGTGGTTGTAGTTTGCAGAAATAGCTCCCAGGTGTTTTACAAGCAGTTAGTTGGCACAAGGAGCCATGCATGGATTGAATGTCACATTTCTATTATGTGTGAGGCTTTTGAGTTAAAGCCAGTGGCTTTAGATGAGCCCAGTTTGTAATCACGGCAAAGCTTGACATACATACATTATATGTAGACAGAGGTATTTTAAGCAGAGGATTATTATCGTACACGTAAGCACCTTGGTGTTAAAATAGAGCACAGTTTAAAATAAAGAGGAGACTAGCACAGATGCTGTAACTCCCTAATGGTTTTAGTTGTAAGAGTCTTTGAAGGTATTCCTGGGGATTGTGAATTGAAAGCTGATGGCTGTCAGTGCCAAAGTCTTTTACATGGGTGGGACAGGTGTCTTGGGCCACACATGAGCTCTTTACAAGATTTCATAAAGAACAGTGTGAGGTCAGAATTCGTTTCAGGTCAGAAACCTTAATCAGATTCTATCAAAGACCAAAGATTGGCTGCAGAGTATTTTATAATGTTGTGGAAGAACACAACGTTCTCCCGTCTTTATTAGGGTTGAACTGCAAAGACATAATTTCAGGGCAGATCCGTTTTTTCAGATTCACTCTGTTTCACTTTATTTCACTCCTACCCAGTTCCTTTCATCTGATGACAGTTTTGAGGAGGGTTCATTTTCAAAAAGATATCTCAGATTTATTTATTTTCCTAAATCATATTTGTTTGTTTTTGTTGAGGCTAGCAAAGCGGTGTTGCTTTATTCATTTTAAGAATGTCATTCATCTGTTTTTGCAAATGAACTCTTCTTTTGTAACATATTTTTCTTTTACAGTAATCAGTTGAACCTCATACATACATATACAACATTATGGGAATTGTTTTAGTCAAACTTATTGTGGATGTTCAAAATGTCTTTATGACTTTTTTTCTTCCTCACAATTTCAGGTAAAAATGTTAAAGTGAGTTTTAATGCTTTAGGCAGTATATCAAAAGGGTATAAAGTGAAATATTATTAAAGAGAAGTATTCCATTATCAATGCAGAGGCTTCACTGCACTGTAAGGATTCTGTCTCTCCTCTGTTGCACAAAGATCACATAGTTTGTGCTTTCAGACAGCAAAACAAAGTGACCTCAGGATAAATACATCCATGTCTACAGTAGTAGTAGTCAGTGTCAGTGATTCCTACTCGTCATCATCAAATACATTTGTTGAATTATTGCTCCAGTGGGAATTCTGATGAAAAGTCTGGTGTAATTAGTTGCCGTTCAAGATCCAACAAGCTCTAAATTGACCTTAAAGATCCCCTCCCCCACCCTCGAGGAGGTTCTACAATAAATAGACCCCTGGCATTTAAAGACTTCTTCAGTTGCAGCATGTGAAAGTATGTAATAATCAAATTTAGTTAGCAACCCCTCTCCTAAGCAGAGGCCTGACTCCTTCTGAGAGTAATGGATTCACACGCAACAAAATTCTATTTTTCTTATGTTAAAAGAAACCTGGAAAGTGTCAAATATTCAAGTTGCAGATTAAGACAGCAATCATGTGGGACATTAAATGTTTATTCAGCAAACTACTTAAACGCCTTTTCCTGTTTTCCCACTGTGTTTTATCTCTTACTCCAGGCTGCCAGTGTCTTCTCAGCCTCTCGAGGTTAGAAACCTGTGGAGAAACATTAATAGAACATTGTGAAAAAAAAGCTGAAACGCAAGATAACTCGCCTCCAAAAAGCACAGAGGACACTGAGCCGACAGTATTTTTTGGCAGAACTTTGATGCATGAAAATCAGTGGCATGCTACGCTCACACCCGATTCACAGCAGGCTTTCTGACATCTTGCTTATCCTTGTTGTCGTCTCACAGAGGCACTAAGCTCTGCTAACAGTGAGTCATGAAGCCTCTTGAAATTCACCACAGACTTACATTGTCATCTGGAGATCCAAAAATATAAAGGCGATTAATTAAACATGGAGAGGAAAGGGAGGGGATTTAAAACGTGGACCAGATAAAGCCTCCCGAAACACTGCACTTTAAAATGTGTCCCTCATGTTTCAGGAGGAAGGGGAAATGTTCATGCAAAGTCTACTTTGGGGCAACTTTATAACTATTTTAGGCATGTTTAAATGCTACTTTTGCAATTTCCGTTACGCAACCAGCTTCTCAAAATAGCCACGGCATCAAAGTTTTAGAATATGTGCTTCATTTGGTATAACATTTTTAAAGGTGAGTAAAAAACCTTTACAGGTGCGTACTTTCTCTACAGCTGGTTTGAGGGAATTAATTTGCCTTTTTTATTTGTTTCACTCTGTCGCCTGGAAACAAATAAACTACGCAGACTGTTTCACAGAGAGGAGAGCTACACACTTGGCAGAGACAGACCACTGCATCATCACCTCATCTGGATGAAGATGGTGGGTTTCCAAGGCTGTGAGTTGCCATAGAAACCCTCAACGGACTCTCCAGCGCAAACAGCACAGAAGGTTGAGCGGTGTTATTTCAACTCACCCCTTTTCTGCCACTGCCATCCTACACAAAGACAGCACTCTGAGGCACAGGGAGATGTGTGGCGTGAGGACAGAAGGGGAGGGGGAGGTGGTGGTGGTGTGTGTGTGTGTGTGTGTGTGTGGGGGGACAGCTCTGCACGGGACAAAACCTCAGCATCCTCCCTCATGCTGACAGATGAAATGTGACAAAAACATGAAAATCAGACAGAGCGGTGCTGACCTGTTCCAACATTATAATACAAAGATGTAGAGACAAATCCAAAACTAATATATTTAATCAATATAACATATAGATATTCGCCTCTCTTCCTGCATATATTTTCTTTATCTTTGATGTTGGTTATTCAGCTCTTTTCATGCTAATTTTGTTCATCAGAGCAGCCCATTGCTCTTTCACATCTAAGGTGCAAAAAGATGATGTATTTGGGCCAGAAACTGTGCTCCTTAAATATATATTCTATATTTTGTTTTAAAGATGTATTATGTAACACATTATATATAACAGTTGAAGATCAACACAGACAAGTTCCCAGTGCATTATATCACCTAGATTGTTTAAAAAGTAGATAGAGGTGTTAAAAAACAAAACGGATGCCTGTTTATGAGCACTATTGAACTATACTGGCTAGAGTGATGGTTTTATAGATATTGTAACTGCATCTACACTGTTACTTGACATGATTTGTATTTTTTTTTTTTTTGAGCAAACTCTACTGTGGTAGTAGATGTGAACAATTATCAAGCACCTATTGGACGTATATTGTCTACTTTAACTATGTGCTCACAAACCATCAAAAGCCCAAATCAGCAAAGTCTGAGACAGCATCAGTGAAAAGATCAAATTAATAATTAATAAATTGATCTGTTTAATAATGAATTACTTCATAAATGTCAGACACACGGTACAAACCATTTGACAGAGATTATTTCTTATGAGTTATCAGTTTGCCATGAAGGACACTGCTGCGAGCAAGGAAGACACCCAAAGGAGAAAGGGTGGAAGTCCTGCAGTGCCTCCACCACTGACATATGCACTCCTACTGAGAGGGACCATCATCACACACACACACACACACACACACACACAACCTATTAGCTGAAGGTGTTGTCTCTAAACCCCTTCGATGTATTTCGTACAGTAACCATAGTAGCCTGCTACTATGGTTACAAGCTAAATTTGGTGAAAATAAAACAGTATGGAGAAAACTAAAATGTAAAGACAAAGTCCAGACAGGAAGTACAAAATGATTTAGGATTTATTTCCCTGTAAAACTTGATTCTTAATATTTCACCATGAAGTGGGCACTTAATAACAATTTATTTTTTTAAGGAATGCGCTTGATTAACCAAACTACACTTACAATAGCTTACACTAAATTTGTCCTGATCACCCTTTTAATGTGGCCTTTCTCACCTTACATGTAATGCAAACTTAAATTAGTATCTGGGTAAAACCAGGACACCTTAAAAACCTGTGTACAATAAAGCAAATAGCAATCACTTCATATTAGTTTGTTGGAAATTTGTAATTTGTTACATTAAAAAAAAGTGTAAGCTGGTGGAGGGAGAGATCTCTGTAGATCTGATGGCAATGACTGTGACATAACGGTCCAATGGAAGAAGAAAAACTAATAATTAATACAGTCCTGTCAAGAAGCAATTCTAGGCTTATAATTGACAAGGTTAAGTCAATAACACAATAAGCCTCTTCCACAGAATAACATTTTGACACAGTGGGAAGAGCAAAGGAAATTAATGATGGCTGAATTCCATTTAGGTGCATCAGTTAAAGGGAGCTGGTAATGTGCCACTGTCATGGCTTACGGCCTGGACACACCTGGATGAATCTACATGAACGTTCTGTGCTGACTTCAACTTTGGTGAACTTTGTTAACTAGCAAGTGGTGCTGACCTTTGAGGGGAGAGTCAAAAACGTGTGCTGTGAAAAAGGCCTCTCTGATCATAAGCAGAGGAGTCGTGGGGCTCGTCGCTGTAAGTCAAATCTGACTGTTGAGTCATGAGTCATGTGGGGAGGCTTGCCCTACAACAGGGAGCAGATGATTGTATTTGGGCGTGATGGTGATTTGTAAAGTGGTAGTGTACGGATCGAAAATCAACATTCGGTGCAGTCCAGAGTCCTGAGGGTCCTCAAGCTGAGGGTCTGTGCTCGTATCCGTCTTAGCGTCTCCTGAAGTGTCCAACGGATACAGTTTGTCACCTGGAAAGAGAGCAAGAGAAAATAGCAGACAGGTACGGTTAATCTATCGTAAACATTCATGCTACTATTTGATCACTAACATTATCCCCATAAGCTAGAGAATGAGGGCTGGGAAGCAGTGTTGTGTTAGCAGCTTCCTCCCACAAACATAGAGAACTGCTAAGTGACCCAACAGCTAAATAATAGCAGCTGTTAGAACCCAGTCACTACCACTAAACCACGGTTAATGATTTTCTATATTTTGTAACTTTCACCAAATCCCAGGAAAAGACCAAAACCGACACATTAGCCACTTTCTTAATATCTTCCAACTTCCTCACCCTGTCTGTGGCTCTCTGCCCTAAGCCCGTTCCTTCCCACTGATTTGTATTCGTCGGGGACTATTTTCAGCAGCTGGTTCGGTGTGCCAGTCAGTATTCACTGCATCAGGATGTGGGCGGGACTCAAAACAAACTACAGTTCCCATGTTTACTGTAATGAGGGAATATGTCAGCCAGTGCAACAGTGTTGCTCGTTTAGGTGTTTTTAATAAGGTCAGTAAGGTCTAGACCTGCTCTATATTAAAAGTGTATAAAAATGCATATGTATAGAATACCGCTTCACATTCAGTGATCATTTAAAGCTGAACATCTATTCGGCATGCTCTCCTGCTGGTTTGGATATGCACCTGGCAGCAGTGATGTGTAGTGTTCATCCTTTAAGAGAACGGGCAGCCACTGTTCGCAGCCCTCTGTTGCACGCTGGCTGGAGAAGTTGTGGAGGTCCTTCAGCAAAGGGAAGCGGCACATGCGGCTGAGCTCATAGAACTGTGGAGGGGCGATCCACAACTCCTGTGCCTGGTAGCTCTGCAGCACCTCTGAGGGTGTGGACCACTGAAACACAGTCAGAGAGATCGTTTTTAACAGTGGTAATAGTTTTAGTTTGGCAAATGGTGTTAAATACTGTATTCATATGGAGAGCCAGAGCCACTGTTGTAATCCACTGTGCTCACAGTCTTGTACATCTTCTTTTATGGTCACTGAACTATTCTTTTTAAAGCAGTCACTTAATGTCTATATTGACAATTGAAACAGGACAGCGTTGTGCCCTTCCATTATTAAAACATGCAGTCATATAACTTTTCTGTAGGCCAAAGTACAGGCCGGCCAACTCCAGTCTTAAGTTATTACAGAGCCAAGAGCAAGTGATATTTAATGTGCTCAGCAGTATCATTACATTACAATACATCCTAACTGAATATATCAGTGAAGAATGATTGAGTAATGTGGGAAACTGATATATTCAGTTTCCTTTCATGAACTTGCTAAATGATGTTTTGAACTATTACTCCCTTGGGTTAGCTATAGCACCAGCTGTCTCAGCCCATTCTGTCCTCTTTCCACTGGACAACTGGACACTGGCAACCTTAGCAAGAACACATTTGGTTCAATCCACCCAGCTTTGACCACATTTAAACTTTAACTGAAAAAACAAATGAAAGAGTGAAAAAACCTCAATCATTAATGTGACTACTAGGCCTGTAACCAATGATTATACTCATTATTGATTAAGTTGTCTCAGCATGCAGTCCTCTTTACACTGGGCAGCTGGAAACTGGTAACCTTAGCAACACATTTGATTCATTTCACCAAAGAAGTGTTTATCATTAATATGACGACTAGGCCTGCAACCACTGATTATGTCCATTATTGATTAATCTGCCAATTATTTGATCGATTAACCAAACCACTGTTTGGTCTATAAAATGTTAGAAAACAGAGGAAAATGTCTTTCACAACTTCTCTTGTCCAGAGTGGAGTCTTGTCCAACACCCAAAGACATTCAGTAAAGCCTGACCCATACTGGAGTTATGAAGCTGATAAAGTAAAGTAAGGTAACATGTCAGTGCTTTCTTGTAGACAAACAATGGAGACGCTGTTTATAAATGACCTCAAACCTTCCTCGGACACAGATATAGCTGTAACAAGCTAATATTTGTTCTGGCCAGGTTATTGCTCTGGCTCCAATATTAGGTTTATTATCACATAAGGTAGTTGGACGGCACTAAATCAACACAATTAAAAACCTGGAGCTACAGATTGTTTAGAACTAGGACTTGTTTGCACATCAGTGAGAAAAAAATCCAATTTCTGTCATTGATTAGTAAATAAATATGTATGTCTGTACACTTCCATACCCACTGTTTTAAACAAATCTGCACTTTGGTGAACAGTTGATGTTTTTATGTGTATGCATCACCTGAAAGCGCACTATTTCCCTTTCATCATGAAGTGTGTGTGGGATCTCCTGCAGGCAGCAGATGAAGAAAGCCGTGTCAAACCTCGTCACACCGTACCGGCCCGTGGGGGTCAGCCAGTTGCCCCACTCATGTAAAGCCCAGATGTTGGGCAGCACCTGCAGCTCCCTGCACATCCTGATGAAGTTGGACGGGTTCTGGTTTACCAGAGTCCTCCACTTGGTGAGTTCACTACCGCACAGCTCGTCGACCTTGCTGTGTGGCACCGGGTCAGCGACACACCTGTCCTGCACGCTTTTTAACAAACCTTTCTCCTCCTGTTTCGATACAACAAGGAGCACACCGGACTCCTCAAAAGTCTCCCTCAAGGCGCAGATCCGGAAGGCGACCTCCCCCGGGATGGGAGAGCCCAGTTTCAGTCGGTCTGTGGCGAAGATTGGAGGTCTAGTCTCCGCCGGCTGTTTGACGCTTCTCAGACCAAAATTGTGATAGTTCGTAAAAGATTTGAAAATGTCCAGCCATTCACTCGAAAAGTCCGAGGGGTCCGCCATGCCCCCGGGAAACACATACGCATTGGGCATGAATCCACTTTTACTGCTGCGTTTAAGCAGTAAAACGCCGTAATCGAAGCAGGACTTGTGCGGCAGGTGCGAGCCGCCATGGCTGCTGCCCAGCGGTGAGCCTGGAGCGGCGGTCAGTGAGCCTGGAGCGGCGGTCAGCG